TCGCACGGATTAGTAGTGCAGTTTTTCCCATATTGCAAAGGGGCTATTCAATTCCATCTGGCCTTACCTGCATTGAGGCCTTATTAACCAGCCTCGACTTCACTTTCGACCTCGTCTGGGTGGTTTCAGTAGCCTTAACATGATTCGAACTCTGATCATGCACATAAAGTGGCGAAACGTCGCTATTGGGTTACAGGGCAGATGTGAATCTCAGACCAAGCCTTCGCCAAATCACGGGTATAGTGAGAATTTCTATCAGACAAATATATAATATCTATTTTTATCTATTGATATTGATGTATATTCCATTTCGAAACTGTTCTTAAACAAGAATGGCGAATTGATAAATATAATTTGGACGAGCCCAACCAGATGGAAGAGGGTCCACATATTTCAATTACGAAATAGCATTAATAATGACAATTGTCACTTGGCCGCTTTGTCATTTGCTTTCAGTCGACAAATTGACTCTAGGCCTGTGAGATCCGAATTTTGCAGGTTGCCTTCCTGCCATTAGGTCTTCATCTAAATGCTAATTGAGGCAAGCATGCTTGACGTCCAGTCTGGACGATGAGGACATTTTGTAATGCAAAACGATGGCAAGTATAATCCTTCATTCCACTTTTTGGTCGGAGGTTCAATTGTGAAGGAATACGAACGAAGGATGACATGAGTTCATACAAACTCCAAAATCATGCGTGATGTAGACAGATTTTAGGGGCCAACACTAGGACACATGAAATAAGGCTGGCAGTTGGGCTGAAGTCGAAGCGGATTTCCAGCATGTCAGCAGACTCCACTTTGGAATGAAACCCTTAAAGTATTATTAACTTGAATACGTGCCTTAGAAGGGTTGCACAAACAATCTGACAGACAAACATTTCGGTTATAATAGGAAGGTTTCCTGAAGACGAGTCGAAGCATTCGTTGTAATAGATGAAATTTGTAAATACATCTTTTGAAAGATGGATGAATGTGCGAGACTGCGAAAAGGGTCAAAATAAAAATTATCCCTACATGGGCGAGATTACAGGGTATGAGATTGGCATGTCGCCTGCACATATTGAAAGAAAAGAGGAGAATTTATCAAGGAGGTAGGTGTATTTAGATTAAAAGTGACATGAATGTCTTGAAATTTCGTAAATGGTTGATAATGTTATAAGCGATATCAAGATCAAGGACGAATTATATGAAGAAAAAGAGAAATATGAATTAAGGGTTAAAAGAGATATACATATGAATAATGTGGCCAAATAAAAGACAAAATGAACAACATAAAAGGAAAAAGGGAAGAATATTTCACGAAAAGAAAGAAAGAAAATTATGAAGATATGAAGGAGAAATTTTTGAAACTGCAAGTAAACACTGAAATTAAGCATAACGGTTTGGTTAACCTCCTATTTTAACAATTGTATGAAAGGCAAGTTTGAGGAATGTGGGTTTGCTCTAAGGCAGATGGGCAAGAAGAGAAGCAGAGGGTTGCGAATTGCTTTATCTACCGCAGGCGGCCATCGCGAATGGAAAATCTGTCATTTGTTAAGAAGAGAAGTGAGGCTGAGGCTCGACGAGGTCGTCTGCTGGATTCATTCTGCTGGGTCGCTTCCACATGAACAGACTGCACGAACTGAACACGACGAAGACGACGGTCGGCCGTCGTGTGGTGAAGGGGCGCCCGGAGACAACTGACACCGCCTACGAGGGAGACGCTGAAGTAAGCAAACAGTTATAATCCGATTAACCACGACCGTCAAAACGCGACACGGAGCTGCCTGACCTCGACATGGAGTTTCTACCCGCTGAAGTAACGGAAGACTTCCTGTCTCTAGCGCGTCATAATCAAATTTATCCTTCTTTTAATCTCCAAGCGACTTGTGTGCGAATGTGAGGGGACGAAGCTGAGCGTGGGGGCGAGGGTGAGAGCGAAGGTAAAGTTGAGTGTGAGAGAGAGGGGCTGGTGGAGGTTGAGGATGAGGGGAGCCTGAGAGCTTAGATGAGAGCGAGTAGAGGACAAAGACGAGTGCGATAGCGAGGATAATAATGATGATGCTGATGATGAATGTGAGGAAGAGCCATACTAGTCACTTGTAATTGCTTGGCTTGTGTGACACTAGTACCTATTTGTCTCGAGTTCGAGTCCTCGCCACATTTTCTTTTTTCGAAGAGGAGCTCTCGAATCGGCGGTTTCTATCAACGGTTATGCATTTGAAAAGAAATTGAAAATGTCCAAGTCGTGTGAATTGCAAATGAGAGTGAGTAG